TATTTTGCACAGGTAACGTATCAACAATCTCTCACAAATCTCCATATGTTTTTTGCAAATTTCAATGTATTCTTTATCTTTGTGACCTAATCTCTGAAGATACGCTCGCGTATAAAGTGATATTATTGTTCATAAAAAATGCAGTATATCCATCGATGCTTCATATCCATGTTTCAATTCTAATATTCCAATTTATACCTTACTCGAAGTACCATTTTATTCGAATTGTCAAGAATGAGTATAATTTAAAATAGAATTTCAAATATTTCCTCTATAAATATCATCCAGCCACAGGTATCGAAAACCGTAAAAACCTTCGAATTTCATTTAAACGCAGTCGAAATATTAAATGAAAAATTATGCTAATTACCAATACATCGACTCTGTGCTTTCGAACGTTTCCGTAGCGAAAGCTACAGATGTCGCAGAACATTTTATGTTTCCAGATTCTCGGACGAGAAGATCTCGCCTCGTTTCGTCGGACGTGCCCGACGCGAAAAGGAAAAACCCGACGATTTTTGCCAATTTTCGTGCCACTGTTTTACGAACGAGTGAAAAATCTAGCCGGCTCTATAATTATTCACAGTATCGCAGCTGTCCGGCAAGCAGCGTGCCGGTGAACCGATAAGATGGGGGCTGTGGAGGTGGCACAAGAAGTCACATCCCCGTCGCCGAATGGCGCCTTTTACATGGCCGACTATAAAATTGTTTCGGTGACGGCGCGGCCGCCTCAGAAACGCTCCACCCTCGAACGCATTGAGCAGAGCCTGCTTTCTCGCCATGAATTTGCACGTAAGTAAAATTTGCCAGCGTTCGACGCTTAAGTCTGATTTATTTAGAATATATATATATCGCGACCACCGTTGTTCCCGTCTTTGCCGTCCACGCCGGGCTTCTTTTTCACGTCTGCTTGCACACGATTCGTTCCGATCTCTCTCGCGCGACATTTTTCTTCATTGTTCTTCAGCCGCGCGCGCGACACTACCACATTCACGACTACATTTTCATCCGCGAAAAGGATCGGATATCGATTTCCTGACCGGTTTCGGCTGGCGAACTGGTCTCGCGGAACTAAATGCACCGCCGTGCAGTTAATTCGCTGCGAAACGCGTCGCGTATGCTCTTGGATTTCACCGGCGATCGGGTAATTAGCCGACGTGCTTGGCGGATTAATGAATTCGGAAGAGGTATTCGGCCGAGAGAAAACGTCGATTTCGATCTGCTGGAAATTGTCGCGCTCGCCACGTTCGCTGGCATTAATTTAACGCTTGAACCGTCGCGTTAAATGTTATATGTGGGCGATGGAATTATTTACTTTGTCTATTATGTCTTCCGAATTTTTTTAATCAGGTTCTGCGAAACGTAGGAACGTCGATGAAGTAATTTTCATTTTATTAAATAAGATACTTTCGTTTTGTTTAATTTTTGCGGTTACTGGCAGTCGAAGTGTTAATTGAACGCGTCGTTTTGATTTCGATTCTATGCTTTCGTTGATCATTTAATAGTAGAAATATCGAACCGGTCCAAACGACTGGTTTCCAATTGTTTCTTTTGTATTTCCTGACATTCTAAAAATAGTTCTGCGTCAAATTGTTTAGACGATTTTGTACATTAAGCATACATTATAATGCAAATAACGCGAAGTCTAATATTGCCATTAAATCTGATATTGTCATTATTATAGAGCAATATACTTTGATCGTGTTTAAGGCTCGATAGTTCTAGTGTTAAGCTCGAATCATCGAAGATCGAATCGTAAACATCTGCGGCACATCTCTGGCCTATTTATTTGCAGCGGAAGCAATATCTGTGGCTGTGAGGGAAAACGCCGCGTGTCGGAACTTCGAACGATCTCAGTTCAGCGTTAATTCATTAGAGGATTTTTATCTGTTTATCGTAAAAAAGATCTTAAGAACGAATTCGACGAGCTCGACGACAGTGATCCGAACTTTCCAGTGGCGATATCTTGAAAGTGAAATCGTGTGATACGCGGAGTTCTGCATTGCAACCACAGATATATTCCATTTGACCGAAAGATTTTAGGAAAATACAGAAACATCGACTCTCGGTTCATTGAACACGGTCGCTTTATTCGAACAAATTCGAACACTACTTTGCGTTTGTTGAAGATAAGACAATCTTTTTTTTTTAATTTAATTTACTTAATGCCGCATCTGCTTAACAGCAATTAGCGACCACTTGTGGGGTAACATTTGTAGGGTTATATTTAGTGTAATATGAGCCGTTTATTTTGAAAGTGGCATAAGTCACTTTGTTTTTTAAAATTTGTTTAAAAATATGGATGCTAACTTTCGAGAAGATTTACTTGTATTTGTTATCTGATATTTTACTGATATGATATGTTACTGATTATACTTTATATATTATATATTATATATGTTACTATATATTACTATATATTATATACTATATATTATTACTATATATTATACTATATATTATATATTATATATGTTACTGATATTTTTCTCAGTATAAATAATTTCGTATAAACATTAAAAAATCACCACTTTTCATTACGGTAAAGTGACTTGTGCCACTTTCAAAATAAACGGCTCATATATACAACAGTTTTGCATTACATTTTTACATTATTTTCGTAATCCAGGCTCCTCAAGCTACTATATTATTTCGCTAAACAATTCGTTTTCTTCCGAGTACGACATAACTTTTGCTGTTTGTTTCTAATTGTCCAAACATTCTTTGATGGTATTGAGCATTTTTACTTTTTTTCCGATATTGTTGCACACTGAACGTTTTATTAGAATTCTGCTTAACTGTAAACTCAATGTTACAGTTGTTACAAAAAGTGGTTCATCTGTTTCGGAGAATGTGCACCGATGAATTATTTCAGTACGCCTAATTCGTAGTCGAGATAGTGCAATTTGCTTCCTTCTTGTTAAATACACCGCGGCAGAGAATACACTTTCTCTGAGTTTATGTAGGAGAGGGGGATTTTAATGTGTCTATTCTTGGTTCCAATTGTGCCAAATATTTTTGCCACAAAAATGGGATTTCAATGTGCCTTGGATCTTCATTTATCTCGTTGTTATTTCCTGGAATTTCAATACTATCGCGTTCACTTTCGCAAAGCTTTATATTTTATATTATATAATTATATATTTTATATATAATTATTATATAATTATATTTTATATATAATTATTATATTATTATATAATTATTATATAATTATATATTTTATATATAATTATTATATAATTATATTTTATATATAATTATTATATTATTATATAATTATATATTTTATATATAATTATTATATAATTATATAAATATATTTTATATATATTTTATATATAATTATATTTTATATTTACCGATTAGATTGCTAGAATCGAACGGATTTCTTGCTCCCTTAATTATGCTGGGATTGTCGACAGAAATGATACAGAAGTCCTGGACAAGACAATTGTTCGCTCGCCATACGAACGACTCAGAAATGGATCGACACAGAAATAGCGACTCCGACACGAACATAGTTCTGTTCACGCTCCAACTATTCGCTAATTGATATGTGCTACGATCGCAGATAGGAGACCGTCGGGCAACGATACAATCGATCGCGGTCAGAACGATCGCGCGAAAAATACAATATCTCGTTCTTTGTCTTCCCGTTCACTATTTTCTTATTTCGCATATCGCACGGAACTTTCGCCGAACCGAAACGAATTTCATCGAAGAACAAACGCGAAAGAAACTCTTCGATAATTCCGCATTGCTTCGAGCTTCTCGCGTTGTTTTCGACGAGCATACAATTTTTATCGCTCGATTAGTAAAATTCATATTATTCACTGGAAATCGCTGAAAACTCGACCGACCACGCGGCTGCTATTTACATGTGAAAGAAATGCAAGCACGCGCGATCTTAGAATTTTGATAAGTCGACGCGCGTCCGTCGATCGTTCGTGTAAAACATCGAACCGCGCGCTCGATCGAAGCTTTCAATCGATATCGAAAAATCCGTTTTCCGTGCCGTGAAATATTCTTAGCGCCGGCGAATTCGTTTTCCCCGTCCGTCGTCCGCGGGATACGTATCTGGACAAGTTGCGCTCGCGGCTCGGTACGTGTGCTTTTTTTTCTCCTTTTATAATCGAACCAGGCGTGTCTTGCGGGTTAATTTATATTTCACTTTCTACCGGCGAGCGAGCGTGTAATTCGTGCGACGACGGTGTGCTAGAATTGCTAGATCGTTGCACCGCGCTCGCGCGCGCGCGCTAACTTAGTCCCGGTTTCCAGATAGGTTTCGTTCCTTTTTCTCGCCGCGAATGCTGGAATGTTCGGAGGTAAAGGCTCCGTCGTCGTCGCGTCACCTTTTCCCGATTACGGAAACTGCTTTTGCCGGTCGAAGACGTGGCGCGTTCCCCCCACCCCCCCAAACGCGAACCAGAATTTCTTCAACCGCGGATCCAATTAAATCGCGCTCGCATTTCCTTAGCTGCCGAAGCCGCTGCCATCCCTTCTCGATCGCGATTTTTCTACCCGCGCTGTTCGGATCGCTGGAACTTTTAACGAGCCGCTCGCTTTTTTCGCCGCTCTGCCTGCCGGCAACCTGCTAACTCTTGATCGATCCGGATCCGGGGCCTGTTTTTCGACGAGCAAATTTAGAATATCATTTTCTTTCGCGAGTGTTATTCTTGCGAAATTAATCGAAACGTATAGAAACTGGCGTTTTGGTATTGCAGTTGAATTTAAGAGCAGTTTTGTAGTTGTGATAAATATTGTTACGGTAATGTCTCTCTAATTCGCGCTCTGATTGCGCACAAAAATGGACAATTTGGGAAGAGGAGATACGATTACGGTAATGTCTCCCTTACCGACGCTCAGATTGTCCACTAAAAGGGACAATTTGGGAAGAGGAGGCACGATTATTCGAGCCTTGCGGCTCATTTTTATAATTGTGGACAATTTATAACTATAAAAATAAACCGCAAGGCTCTGGAATAATCGTATCTCCTCTTCCCAAATTGTCCATTTTCGTGGACAATCCGTGCGTCAATTAGAGAGACATTACTGTATATGGACTAAATCAGAGATTATATATATGGACTAAATCATAATTATGGTCAATTTATAACTATAAAAATAAACCGCAAGGCTCTCGAATAATCGTATCTCCTCTTCCCAAATTGTCCATTTTTGTGGTCAATCTGGGTGTCAATTAGAGAGACATTACTGTATTCGAGCCTTGTAGCCCGTATTTATAATTGTTGAGAATCAATGACCATAAAAACGACCCTATCAGCTCGAGTATTCGTATCTCCGCTTCTCAAATTGTCCATTTTCGTGGACAATCCGAGCGTCAATTAGAGAGACATTACTGTACATGGACTAAATCAGAGATTATATATATGGACTAAATCATAATTATGGACAATTTATAACTATAAAAATAAACCGCAAGGCTCGAATAATCGCATATCCTCTTCCCAAATTGTCCATTTTTGTGGTCAATCTGGGCGTCAATTAGAGAGACATTACTGTATTCGAGCCTTGTAGCCCGTATTTATAATTGTTGAGAATCACTCAGCATAAAAACGACCCTAAAATCTCGAGTATTCGTATCTCCTCTTCCCAAATTGTCTATTTTCGTGGACAATCCGAGCGTCAATTAGAGAGACATTACTGTACATGAACTAAATCAGAGAGTGTACCGAACATTGGAAAACGGTACAGTCCACTGGAAAAATCGATAACAGTAAAAAATAATATAAAATATAATGTATAGTATAATAATATAATTTTTCACGTCAAGGGAAATTGCATCCTGTCAATTATACTTAAACCGAGATTATCCAAGGGGGATGAACCGTGCGATTTATTGTGCCATAGTTCAGAATATCGCTTTCTGTCACGTGGATACTAAATGCAAGGCATCGGTACAGTAATTCCAAGTCCGATCAATTTGTAGACTCGAAGTTGCGACTTTTCCCGGCAACTCTGTCGTTCCGTTTACAAGATGCAGTTCCACGGAAACGTGGTGCACGCGCGCGCACGTAATTGTACCCGTTCCAGAATCTAGTTTGACCAAATGCGATAATACACTGACCAAAATCCTGTATTACGTAGTCGGGCAGGTACGCGAGATAAGTGTTATTCAATATTTCTCGACTATTTTGTAACTAAATGGCACAATTTGTAATCGAATTACGCAACGACCGAACGTCTAATTATGGAAATATATTTATTTCCAACGCGATCATAATCGAACAGGCTGACATTACAAAGTCTATCTGTCACATTTTAACAATTATTTTGAGTTTCATTTGCACAACTTTCAATGAGCTTGAAGGACACGGTGTTATCTGGAAGAAGTAGAAACACTGAATTTACTAATTGCTGTTCCAATACATAAATGAATAAGACATAGCATTTCATTAGTAATAGGGGTCCGTAAGAAGTTGCTCTCATTGTCAGTGACACGATCTAACAACGTTTGATTGAATCGTAATTTAAAGGTTAAATTCGTACATTCCTTTTCGATGTGCGTGTTCGTTGAAATAATTTCTCTTTTGCAGTTTCTATTTTTAATAGCACTCCCCATTTGCGCGGCACAATTTCGAATACAAGGGCCCAGCGATGGAAATCGAGCTGCCGAGAGTTTGTCAGTGGATGACGGAGGAAGAGTTGAATACAGCGGACACAAAGGTAAATTATTTGCGAACTGGTACTAAAATTTATATGGTCTATGGTCTGGGATAAAATGTAATCGTCGAAACGATTAACAATCTTTTCACTGATTTATATATTCACACTTTAAATATAAAATATTTAATATTTAATATTTATAATATAATATTATATATTATAATTATTATAATATATTATATATTATTATTATAATTATTATAATATGTTATATATTATTATTATTATATATTATAATTATATTATACATAATATAAATATTAAATATTTTACACTTTTGTTCGAGCAGTGAAGCCGTGTAACAGTAAGATAATTGCTAGCAATTGTCGGACTGCTAATAATTATGCTATTTTGAAAATTATAGAAATGTGTATTTCATTGGAATCTATATTAATACAATCTTATTGTATGTTTATTGTGCATCTATTAGTTATAACAGTTATGGTTTCTGGTACACAGAGTACAATAAATACTCCCTAATTTTCCTTCAGCTTGCACTCAAAGATGGACAATTTGGGAAGAGGAGATACGATCCTTGTACCTCGTTTTTACAATCGTTGACAATCTCTCTCTCTCAGCGACTATACAAATGAGCTGCAATATTAATTAGGGAGAATTTACTGTACTGTATAATAATAATAAATATATATATATATATTATTAGAATATAAATAATATAATAATNCAAATGAGCTGCAATATTAATTAGGGAGAATTTACTGTACTGTATAATAAATATAAATATATATATATATATTATTATAATATAAATAATATAATAATATATATATATATATATATATATATATATATATATATATATATATAATATATAATATAAATATATATTTATATTATTATAATATAAATAATATAATATGATATATATACATATAATATAATATAATATAATAATATATATATATATAATAAATAAAGTATCAGTTTGATTTGGTAGATGAAATATCGAACTCGCATTTTTGCAGCTCCATCGTCTGGAGGTTTCACTATTCAGGGTGCATCCGATGGTCACTCGAACGTCCAAGGAGCCAGCGACGGTCACTCAGACTTCCAGCTGCGGGCTGCGACTTCTTTAGGGGCGGATAGATACTTGCAACCAGCGCCAGCGCCTCCTGCCTATAACATTCAAGGAGCAACGGGTGGACAAAGTCACATCCAGGGATCCTACGACGACTCCGGTGCTCCAAAATCGTTGGAGTACAACGATCCCAGTGGTAAATCCTCATAGAATATGAAAATTCCGCGCTCTTCGCGCGGACGAAACATTTTCTAAGAATTTTCGACGCTTCGTGCGAGTAATAATATACAGGGTGCCTCGACACAACCAGGAATAACGTTCTTTCATTTTTGGCTTCGTTGTCGACAAAAATCGACTTTGAATATTCAAGCATGAGTTTTTTTTATTTTTTCTAGTCATTCCAAGCAGCAGCAAAATTAAAAAAAAAGCATTCTAGTTACGGTTCAGTAGACTGATCCCTTCATCATCTAATGAAATACAAGATTCAGGACGTTCGGTCCAGTTTGAAAAAAGTTATCGCGTTTTAGAAGCTGCGCTTCGGTGAATGTCACCGTATGTGTAACTGTAATGCAATGTTGCTCGAAAGGTCTACGAGTGAACTGGCGATCGTACAATCGGAATGTACGGCCGTCACCGCAACCGGAACCACAATATACGGAAGCGCAGGCCGGTTTACATCGAGCACCTCAGCGTCAACGAGCGCGACCTCGTCCGCAGCAACATGCGCAACCGCAACCGCAACCGCAACCGCAATCCCATGAACCCGTGTTGCCACCGGTGCAGCCGTACGAAAGCGCGCCGGCGGAGATCAAGCAGCTTCTTCATTTCCAAAAGCTGTTGCCTTACATGAACATCATTCCTGAACCATTCAGGTAAATCTTAGCATTCGCATTTCTGCGCGACGGCGCGGTCTCGAGCTCGAAACATTTACGTTGCGTTGCTCGTCGAGGCTGTTGAGACGGGGAGCCTCGTGTAACTTCTGCTTCTGGCGATCGATGCGGACAACTATTAGATTATTATTTATATTTATTATTTATTATTTATTTATTTATATTTATTATTATTATTTATTATTTATTATTTATTTATTTATATTTATTATTATTATTTATTTATTTATATTTATTATTATTATTTATTATTTATTATTTATTATTTATTATTATTTATTATTTATTATTTATTATTTATTATTATTTATCTATTTATTATTTATTATTTATTTATATTTATTATTATTTATCTATTTATTATTTATTACTTATTTATTTATTAGATTATTATTATTATTATTAAAGAAGCGAAAATCGACAGTTCGAAAAATGCGGTTCGTCTAAGAAATCGCGTTATCCGATTAGTCCTTTCGGTACGAGCGCGTTGTCCGCCGTGACACTGCCACTGCACGGGGTGCCGCGCCGAAAATGCGCACATAACGCAGGGTCAGTCCACTTTTGTACGAAGATTTTCTTAAGCGTTAAGTAATGACTGTGCTTAATCCGTTACTAAATCTTTTGTTTCCTGTGAACATTCTGTAAAGGGCCTACAATATGTTAAAATCTATGAACAAGTTTCGAAGAAAAATGTAACCTGAAATTTTTTTAATCGATTCAGATCAAACGACAATTATACCTGTAGCTGTTTTTTCGGAATCCTTGTAAGAAAAGACTTTATCCGTTTGAGTCCCAGGGATTGTTCAGAAAACACGGTCGAAAAATGCCAAACAGCGTGATAGCGCTGCTTGGGACTCAAACGGTTATTAGAATAGTTTCTAATATGTCAGAAATATGGCTTGCATGGGTGCCAGATGTATACGGCACTCGTCCATATTGGTCATGAGATGGATGCCGGATATATCCGGCGCTCGTACCGAAAGGGTTGAGGCTTGCGAGCCGCTTGATCGCAAGAATGTCAATAATTGCAGATACGAGAACATAATATCGGCGCATGCGAACCAGCAACAGCAACCTCAGTATCCAGCCGAGGAGCAGCAACGATACATTCCGGAACCGAGGCGCCCGCCTTCGCGCGGAAAGGCGCGTATCGCGTCGAGGCAGAAGCGACAGGCGCAGCGACATCCGCCAGCCGAGCAACAGCTTCAATACTCCACGAATCTGCCTCCCGAGATCCGGCAAATATTGAAGTTCCAGCAGCAAACCCCGTACATCAACGGAATTCCTGAACAATTTAGGTGAACACTGTTCCATTTCACTGATCTTTAATAAGTTTATCGCGACTTATCAGTCATGATCGTTTAGCAGGAAAATTATGCGAATATTTTACTACATTACCGAAGCGAATACACAAATTTGTTTAGCTAAAGGGATGTAAGAAAGTAATATTGTCACAGCGACTTATAGTCAAAAATTGTTACACGTGAACTAAAGAAATGAGAGATGCTCTAAAGCATCGGGCTCGGAATTAACCTGCACGAGAGAGGTGTTAGTGGATCGCGAGGGCTACGCCTTCTGAGTCCCGTTGCGCGCCTCGCTCCCCGATGATAAACCTAAATACTACGCATACGCACACACAGCTGCATCGATCGGTGCAATAAAAAATATGCGACTCCATCTGAAAAAATAAAATTGACCCTGGTATCTTCTTTACGCGTTGACCTAAGAAAGTCGTATCAAGATCAGGTCATATGACTCTTGAAACCATTCAACTTCTATTTGAAACATTTTCCAGTATCATCAACTAATTCAGTATCATCCCTAATTAACCCAAAAGCTCGTAGACAAAAATGGACAATTTGGGAATCGTATCTCCTCTTCCCGGAATGTGGATTTCTGTTTCCAAGCTGAGGGTCGATTAGGGAGAATTTAGATCCCAAATTTCTGTTAGATATAATCGTCGCTTAAAAATATGATCTCTCTTAATAATCTCTCTTAATCTCTCTATATAGTCTCTCTTAAAAAGCTTCCTTAATTCCGCGGACTGACGAACCTTCCTCGATAGAACGGTCCAATTGTATCCGCGACGGCGAAGCTACATAATCGTGAAATTGAAGGTTCAACGCGGAGGCAGCGCAGAAGGAGCAGTTGGAAGCGGTCCGTGCTCACTTCCGTGAGATAGCGAGCACTCCGCAGCACCAAGCGCCGAAGTCCAGGCAACGAAGGCAGGCGGATTATCCTCATCAGCAGCAACAGCAACAGCCGCAGCCGCAGCGGCCGCCGCCGGAACCTCAGCTGCAATACTCGACCAATCTACCAGGCTACGTGAAGGAGCTGCTGAACTACCAGGCTCAGATCCCTTACACCATCCTGCCGAATCTGATCGGTGTCACGCGCCCTGAGAAACCGTACGTGCCCCAGCCCGTCCAGAGACCGGAGCCTGCGCCTGTCCCCGCCGCTCAGCCTCAGTATCATAACCCTGCGAACGCCTACCAGCCTCAGGCGAACGCCTACCAGCCTCAGGCCAACGCCTACCAGCCTCAGGCCAACGCCTACCAGCCCCAGGCGAGCGCGTACCAAGGTCAGCCGAGTCCTTACCAAAATCAAATAGGCGCCTACCAAGATCAGGGGAGCGCCTATCAAGGTCAGCCGAACGTCCACAAGAATCAGGCGAACGCCTATCAAGCGCAGCAGAGCGGGTACAACCAGGTGTTCCAGAGCGAGGTCAAGTATCCCCAGTACCCTCAAGGTCAGCCCGGCCAGGGCGGCGTTCGCCCAGTCACCGAGAATCAATATTGAAGAAGACGGTTCGCGCTGTGATTGTCACGAACGTTCTTCCGTCGGCGGAGGATTGACAGCTGCGGGAGGAGCGAAGGGTGGAGAGGAGAGGGTGTCGTTGCAGAGCGAGCGCTTCGATAAGATGGATAGGCGTCGATGTTCGAAGGGAGCATCTCGGGTGCCGGATGTTCCGTTCGCAACATCGGCGAGAACGCGGTGTTAAGTAATTTAATAGAATTAAGCATTTCGCCCCCATTAATTTACTATGTGATAGCTCGATAACACGAAACCGGACCGCGGATCTTCGCGCGATAATCGCCTGCTCCGATCGCAAGAGGCAGAGGTTCCGTTTCTTTTTTTACTTGGGCAATCGTAACGTAAGCTGAGAACGACGTTCGTAAATTGTCTTCAATCGTTTTACTGTTCGCGAGCGCGTAAAATCCGCGGCTCGGTAGCAACTAATGATAATATTACTTTGTAAGCTTTCAGTGAAACTTCTCGCTTGATTTTTGGTGAAAAGAAACATGTGATTCTTACGCTACGATAATTATTTTCATCGGAACGTGCACGAGGTGTTCCATAATTATGTTAACAATTGGAAAATGGTGATTCCTCGGATCATTCGAAGTAACTTTTTCCTTGGCGAAAATAAAATCCGTGGCTTCGTTTACGAATTATTCACGAAAAACGCTGGACCAATGAGAGACGAGCTCGGCTTTTCCATTAATAACTCGTAAACGAAGCCGCGGATCGCATTTTTGCCGAGGAAAAGATCACTTAGAATGATCTCAGGGGGGGGGGGGGTGCCCCCCATTTACAACTATTAACGTAATTATAGAACACCCTGTATATTACGCGTGTCCGATCGATCGCACGAAAACAGAAATCACGAACAACGTCGACCGTGCTGTTTTATTTCTATTATTTCAAGCCTCGGTTAAATTAGAACGTTCGAAACTTGTATTAATGATAATATAACACGTACACCGTTCCATAATCGTTTTATTTACGCATTTCTAACGAGACGAGTGCGGCCTTCCGCTCGAGGGCACTCGGATCGATGATTTTTCAGCGATGGAAACTCGAACGGACGATGATGTTACGCGAACGAGGTGTCGCGAACGGAAGCGAGTCAAGTTTACCGGTCGCGATTCTGCGAGCCGAATTGTAGGTGAACGAGGGATCGATGCTCTGTAACTATGTAGCAATAAAAAAATAATGTCGATGATACATACGGCGCCTTTCCCGCAACGGATCGCGAACCAGCTGGCCGATTAATGGGCCGGTATCGGCGGCGAGCGCGATTAATAAGATCGTTTGAACGGCGCGCGTGACCTCGGATCATTAAAGAGACCGCGCACGGTCGCGGTACGTTACACATCATTTGCCCAATTTCCCGCGTGATCCACTTTCCCTCCGAGAACGCTTTTCTCCCGCGTAACAACGAGTTAATTGTCGTAACGATCGTAATCATTCCGAGAGTTCGAACGACCGTGTCGTTAAACGCGTTGGAAGACGCTACGGAAGATGATGATGATGATCGTGCGACCGACATTGTACAGGCAGGCCTGCCAATTAATGCACGAAACCTACCAATTAACGGCCGATCATGTTAAACGCCTTAATTAAACGTTTAGGCTAAGTGGCGGAGCCGAGCGTGCTCGATTATTAATTCAGCGACGGGCCGCGCACGGCGCGTAGAAACAGAGCATTTCATCGCGTATAAACTATAGGGTGTCGCAAAATTATTGTACAAGCGGGAAATGAGAGGTTCCTGAGATCATACGAAGCAACTTTTTCCTTAGCGAAAATGCGATCCGCGGCTTCGTTCTCGAGTTATTAAGGAAAAACGCTGACATATGAGAGATCGCGTACGGCTGACGCTCCGCCCTCGCGACCACTGCCGCTGCGTCAGACGGCCGGCGCGACGCGGCATTGGCCGAGAGGGCGGAGCGCTGGCCGCGCTCGATCCACGATTGGTCACGGTTTTTCGTTAATAACTCGTAAACGAAGCCGCGGATTGCAATTTCGCTGAGGAAAAAGTTGCTTCAAATCACCCGAGGAACCCCTCGTTTCCCGCTTGTACAATAATTTTGGAACACCCTGTATATAAAGCGTTCTGATTAGAACGGCTCGACGTACTAATGCGATCTAGTTAGGAATACGGAAGTGACCGCGGCGTTTACGCTTCCTGAAACGGTCGGGCTGCACCGTTACGTGACTAGAAATACGTGTTCCGACCGCGTACGTAGGCATCGAATCGTGATTTATATTTATGCCGATATCGATTTTCGATACGATAGACCGGATTTTCCTTATCGAGTTTCTATTCGGCCGTCCTTTCCCTGGCTTTCGTTCCATTCGAATTTTCTAGCGCGATCCCCGTTCCCTTTCCTTCGACGCGAAACTTACGCGAAATTGAACGCGTTCAGTGCCGAACGTCGACTTGAAAAATTCGCACAATATCAAAGTTATCTGGTTAATGAAACCGAAGCTGGAAAGTGAAATTTAACCGTAAGAAACGTAAGTAACTGTCACAGGTAATTAACGCTCGAATCGGCGATCCTGTTTCACAAGGATATGGATAAGTATACTCGGATAAGTATACAAGTATACTTACTTAGTAGAATTTAATTTATCGATTTTTCTCGACATATTTCGTCACCCACTTCTTCTAGCCGCGTTAGTATTTCTATGGACATTAACGCTATAGCTACCTGTGGCCGGCCAAATGACCGCTTTCTAAACTTTCAACAAAATTTTTTAATTCAATGTTTTCGCTTTCCCTCAACTTACCGTGCGACCTTTCCTACGGTACACAGATATATCGAATTTTTCAATATCTATCTCTCTTCTTTAATTTCTTTTCTGTTTTTGACGATCTTGTGTTTTCTACTATTGTTTACCGTGAGCGGTTTCTTAATCTTTGGAAGAAATCTATGATTTTTCGTGACGATATCTGCACTGAAATCACAAGCTTATTATTGCTGTCAGTTTTTCCATGGTAGATGTTATGTTTTAGGCACAATCCGCACGCTTCTGCACGGTTTGCTTCGTATTTGCAACGCGATTTTACCATTAAAATCATTTCTTATCTGGAAGGAACGAAATAGCAATTGTTCCGTTAGCAATCGTTAGCAATAGCAATTGGTTTCACTTCGAACGTCTCACCAAAGAAATATTCTCGAAATGTCAGAAGTTATTTAACGAATTATTTGCAGAAATATCAATTCAATGTCAACGTCAATGCAAAGAAACGAGACAGGAAATTATTATATTCGTTTATATTAAACGATAATTAGTTCTCGAATAAATAATTCATCCTCGTTCCTAATGCAGCAGCCATTTGTTTAACTCGGTCGCTGAAAATGTCGTAATCGCGACGATGTAAATACTTTGGGGGTCAAAATACGGTTAAGCAATTCGAAAGAAGAGAAATCTTGCTCTTTCGAATAAACTATCGCGCAAATTATTTCAAGATAACAAACTGGTGATCTGTGTGTGTGTGTGTGTTGTACAAATAATAATTACAGGATATAATAATAATAATACAATAATTATTATAATATAATAATTATTGTATTATTATTATTTTATATATTTTATTTTATATATATATAATAATAATAATAATAATTCAATAATAATTATATTATAATATAATAATATATATATATATATATATATATAATACATATAACATATATATAAAATAATAATAATAAATTAAAAAATTAATTAATTATTAAATAATAATTACAGGATATAATAATAATAATACAATAGTAATTATATTATAATATAATAATATATAATACATATAACATATATATATAGTACAATACAATATATATAATACAATAATAATTACAGGACTCCGTTGCTCGGTGTTTCGTTTCGCTTATGGAAAAAACCGAGCGCAGAATCTAGGAAATCGTCGTTCGATCGTCGCCAACTGATACCACGTTCCCCGTCACGGGCGCTGCTGTTAAAGGAAAAGTCAATTTCCACGTAACTCGAATCGGCCGTTGATATAATACGTATTCAGGAAAAGTCGTTCTGGCTTTTACGCGGCGCGACGCCGCGTAACAACGTCTTTGTCGGGAAAGTTTGTCGAGCGGATAGAAATGTATTGCATCGAACGACTTCGATCAACGCTCGAACGACGCGCCGTATCAACGAAAATACCATTCGCCGTTGTTTAAGATCATTTCTAATATTATTCGTCGATTATGTTCGTTATAGTTTTTGAGGTAATTCTTTTGGACACGTTCGCTCATCCATGGAGTTCGTTCTCCCGTTAACAAAATTAGCATAAATTGTCAATTTAATTGACAGAAACTGGATATTTAAATAACAATATTTATACTCCGGGTCCAAATGGACCCATATCGCCATCATACAAGCGTTAATGGTTCCGAGATGCTAATTATGCTATTTTGTGTACTCGAACGTTTTTTTATCTACAGCGAACGCTATTGTTTAGTTTAAATGGATATAGGTGTAATATTTATTTATAATTAATTAATTATTAATTATTAATAATTAATATATTTAATATATATTATATATATAATTATATATATATTTTATATATAATTATTATTATATTATATTATATTAATTATATATTAATTATATAATTATTAGATATAATATAATATATTTAATATATTTATTTATTTATATATTTATATATTTATTTATAATAAAGGCTGAGCCTATAATATAGGCTCTATTTGCTATATCTACCGTGTTATATAGAAGGGTTACCCGTTCTAGGTGGCGAAGCGCGAAAAATAAAGCGTGCAAAACCACGGCTATTGATAAATGAACGATGTGGTAACGAGAAGGCTTTTCGAATGCTGCGACTGCATTTTTCCGACTGGACTAGCCCCGGCGCTAAAAAGACTATAATCATGGTATAATATTGATTTCGTAATACACCGCAAGAACCGAATATAAAACACGTAAACCGCGGACGTATAATTACGTGGTGCAGCTGGCGCAGCGTGTCAAGTGCAGCCCGTAAAAAAGTGTCTTTTACATTTTACTTTGCAACTAACTTTCACGTACTGTCTAGATTATCGCAGGTCACCGCAAATTCCAAATGAGATACACGCGAGTGCTCGCGTCGACCCAATGAAACTTTCATTCAAACAATGCTACGCTTCTTTGGATTCGAAACTGGCATTCGATCACGGTCTCCGATGTTTAATTTCGAAGTTCGATCGAAAGTTTTCATTTTCCCTAATGAACGACAGAATTTTCTGGATCGCTCGCGGTTCGACGTATAATTTTAAAGTGTGCGAAATTATTGATATATATTATATATTAATTATTATTATATTTTATTATATAGAATTTAACGAAACCACGTTTCACGTACAGTCGATCTATTCGAAGTGAAATTTCCGATTAATATTCGGGCAACTTTTAAAACGCGACAACAGTTTTAGAACTGGCTTTAAACGGCTTGAATTACTTTTAGATGGTAGAGAGACCGGTCCACATTTTCAGCATGCATGTAACTTAACGAGATCTGCAAAACGCATTTTTTTCAATTTTCGTTACAGCCTCTGATAAAAAAGGTTGAATAACGAGGGATTTTTATTTCATTTTGTCACTCTAAGTAATGGCAAAATTGCCATGAAGTAGTTTAATCACTGTCCAGTATACTAGTCCCTCTATCATCTAAAAAAGTTCAAATTGTTCAAACTTAAAATAGTTATTAAGTTTCAGAGGGTGCTCGAATATTAATTAACTTTGCAAATAAGTTAAAACTGTTTTACTTCAGCTGTGTGGAGTATATA